ATCGGATACGTGTGCTTACCGCTGCTGTTAGTGTATAGAGACGGTTCACATGGTTTTGGAATTGGTTCTTCAGCCTGTATTTGGTAGGCAGGGCTTTATATGCAATGAAACCGAAATCAGCTAAGCTGGGCAGTGAACTGTCTTCAGAAAGGGACTTTTTTTCCAACAGAGAGTTCTGTCAATTCAAAATATATGCTGGGGCAATGAAAAATGAAATCTCTCTCTCTCTAAAAACACCGTGCAGTGCAAAACACATCTTCTAAGCACTGAAAACGGCGTGAGCGGGACTGCCCATACTTAGTATGGTGACCTAAGGTGTCTTCAAAGAGCAGTGTCAAGTTGTGCAACACCTGACATACTTTTATTGTTTCACAGGCAAAGTAATAGTTCTGTCATTCGATCAAATTCCCCAACAACAACATCTCAGATTATGGCCAGAAAGAAAAGAAGAGGGGTACGTTGCATTTAATTCTTTTCCCGTGTGACAATTTGCATGTGTGCTGTGATTTTGCCCTTCAACATTTTTTTATAAACTTCATGTGTTTTGTTTTTTTGGGAATAGATTATAGAGAAAAGGCGCCGTGATCGTATAAATAACAGTTTATCAGAGCTGAGGCGGCTTGTGCCAACTGCTTTTGAAAAACAAGTAAGCCCTTTTTTTTTTTTTTTTTTAATTCTGTATCTCATCTGGCAATGTTAGTTCTCTTGTAAAACTCATTAAAATAATATTGTATGTGTCCTGATCTGGCACAAAGCAGGCATTTCATTAAAATGCTTTCTTGTGGCGAAACTATTAGAAACATAATTCATTATAAGGCTGAAAAACATTTCCATTCTTTGGCTTGTTTTTCCCTTAAGGGTAACTGTGTTCATGTTGCCTCTGTTCTTTCGATGAATTCCAGTAGTGGTTTTGTTAAAAATGCGCTTTACTCCATATTTAAAAAAAAACCCCAAACCCAACACAACTCCCCCAAACCTGGATGTCAATTAGCCTTCTATCTAAATCTTTAATCCAGTTTCCTGAAAAGGGAACAGACAGTCTGGATTACGTACATTTTAAAATGACTCTTTAGAACCAGGGCGTTAGAAGAGGGAATAGGCCCATGTCATGTGAGCTAGTGAAGTCAGTGATATGTTCAAAGACTTTCAGTGAGAAAATATTCAGTGGGAAGGCTGGAAGGATCCAGCCAACTTTGGTTCAGCTCCTTGGTCATGAAATTACAGACCAAAAGCTTAGAATATAGTCTGTCCTGTAAAAAAGGGCATTTTGTTTATGCCGTTCAAATTAAATTATTTACTTCTCCACATCTTGATCCTTATTTTTTGGGCTTTGACTCAATACTTACCTCCAGTAAAACAAGAACAAGGCTATCTGTAGATCTGTGGATATGTGCAATTGACACTACGTTTCAATAAAAAGGAACCAACTGAAAATAAAGAACCTGACTCCCTTGTCATAGCAAAATAAAAACCAGAAAATAAAACTTGAGAGCAGGATCGCGGCAAGGTGCTGAATGTCAGTGGTAACTGTGTGGCAAGCACCACACGGTATTAGGCCTGTTACATCCCTGGTCTGAACAAAAGCTAAAAAGAAATTTTAAATATTGTAATGGTGGTGAGAGCATCACTTGTGTCACCTGCAATATGCTTTTAATAACTAGTAGTTGTAACTGTGCCTTTCCGTAGGTTCTGGCAAAACAGAGTGACAGAGGTATTTTCAGCTAGATAAACAGGGGCAAGAGACAACAGTTGTTTGTCCCGGTTTATTGTTTACTTCTTGAAAACCACAAACGTTATAAAACAAGTCCTACAGAGTCTTTGGAAATTACCCAGCGCCATGCAGTTTTTAGCTATTAGTCACTCTCACTGAGACGGCTTGTACTGTGTCTATGGAAAAGATGAAGTCCGAGAAAAGTACAGGATGTAGTTGCATGTAAAATGGGGGATTCTGACCCAAAATTCACAGGCGCACCAATGTTTGTAGAAGGAAAGCGCTGAAAGCAATAAGCGGATTGAAAATAATAATGTATTGGCGTAAAAATGAGCGCGTGCCGAGTTTTGTTCAGAAGGGCCCACCATTTTTCTGCAATATGCCAAGGACAAAGTCGTCAGTCCTTTTCCAGCTCCTTGACATTCAGCTCACTGAAGTTTCTGAGTTAGAGGTTTAGTTTCGCTTCCGCCTCCTTCCCTCCCTCCCCAAATCACAGCTCTGCTCTCCAGAGTCCCTCGCAGAGATTAGCGCTGGCGAAGCGGGGCTGCGGAGGAGGGTGTAAGCCTTACCTAACACGCACACGTGCAACCTGGGCGAAGCCGGCTGAGGCTGCAGGAAGGCCAACAGCAGGGAGGCGGCCTGGATGATAAGTAAGAGAAAAATTTGGCTTGCAGGGTACGATCTGCTGGTGGCTGAAGCTTGTGCAGCCCTGGTTTTAACCGATGCCAAGGGATGATCTCTTGCACTGGAATAACATTTGCGTGGTAAACTCAGTCATCTGGGCGTGCTCCAGATATTCAAGGGAATGCTACCATGCAAAATAGTTTTATTTATAGCGTAATATTTTAATACTACCTTTCGAGTTGTATTTTATCCTTTTCCAGCACCTGTTGTAGCTCTGTGAGCCACCCTCAGAACAGAAAAGATTTTTACTTGACAGAGAAGCTAAACTCTTTCTTTTTCACAGTGTTTAGCCTCGTGTCCCTGCAAACTGGGCCTCTCGCTAACTTAAAATACAGTGGACCGTGCAGTTGTTTTTTCAGTCGAGAATGAGAATAGAATATTCAGCGGCCGAATGACATGTCGAAAATTAATAGGCGATTAAGAGAGAGGGATATTTCTCGGTGTGTGTCCACAGGGACACCTACTGGTAAAAGCAGAAAAAAAATGTTGCAGCAGGGTCTTCATGGGTAACTGCAGACCTGTCCCGCCAGCTCTCGGTTTGTGTTTGTTGTTAAAAAGAAAGAGCAGAAAGTTATGTATTTCTCTCATTTCGTGCAGATGTCATCTCTACGCTATCTTCAAGGCCAGAGCTACGCTGAGCTGTAGCCTTAATAAAGCAAAATTGTGCGCTGCCGCTTGTATTGCTAGACAGGAGACGGCATTAGTCCTTAGACAAAGTCTGGGAGGCAGATGCTCATGAAAGAATTAAGATGAGAATGTCCTAATGATAGGGGAAATTGAAACCATAAGGCTGAGCTTAGTGGAAAGTATATCAAATTAAAGTTTCTCGTACTTGTAAGCCTTTATTTATATGAGTCTCTTATCTCAAAGGGATCTGCCAAATTAGAAAAAGCGGAAATACTGCAAATGACAGTGGATCATCTGAAGATGCTGCAGGCGACGGGAGGTAAAGGTAAGGAGCCGACGGTGTCTTTTCTAATATTGGGGGAAATATCGGCAAAAAAAGTGCTTTGAGGAGCTGTGATAGGCATTTCCAGATTAAAGGAGTGGAAATCAATGCTAATGGCAGGACTGAACTCGTGGGAAAGAACTACTGGGACAAAAGAAGCACTTGACCCTGGGCTTGTGTTTGCTTTCATAACGCTGTGGGAGTAAAGGCTTCATTCACAGGCAGCCCAGTCAGAGATTTGTTTGGGGTTTCCAAAGAGGACTGAAATCTGCACAGGGAGACAAAACAAATACACAAACACCAAACATAAACAGGAGGTTTGCGGCAACAATTGTGTAGCACAAAACCGATGCGAAACCTCATTATGCAGCAGCTATACTGAAGGAAGTGGATGGAGAGGAACTTTCATTATTGTTTATGTATTTTCTTTGTTCTGGAAAGACTTTTAAATGCCAGGTTAGACCGTCTCATTCACCAGAACAAAACCCAGTCTCGCTCTGTGCAGCTCCAGGTATCTGATGAAGCAGACGGGCAGACGGCTAGCAGTGCTCGCGGCACTCATATTTGTGTGCTATATTTGCTTGTCAGAGGTCTGGGTGGCTCCCGGTTAGTGGGTGCTGGCGTGACGCAGGGGCTGCGCTGGCTGACCCACTAGATCAGCCGGCTGCCGGGAGTCGAGCGTACCTCGCTTGTGCAAGCTGCCAGTCCCGAGGCTGGAGGCCAAATGATTTCAGCCACCCACGAGGTATTCTGTATAGTCATGATTTTGGAACTTATTTGGAGTGAAAAACTTGCTGGCCTCCTGTAAGCACGGTCCCACGTCCCGTGCCATCGACTGTGATTACGGTTCAGATTGTTGCAAAGGAAACCAGCCGGTTTTTCGTTGACCCATTCTGCCATATAGGTGAAGGCCAGAAAAGAGGCGGCTGCTGCTCGCTCTCTTCCTTTTTTGATTAAACTCAAAAGTTTTTAGCCCATGGCTGAATTACTGCTTCTCTCTGTACCTTGCAGCGATTACAGAATTCAACTTACAATCAGTGCATGCTTAACAACAGGTGGTTTATAGGAGTGCATGTCGAAGGCTGGTGTTCTGTTATTTGTGAAAACTAACACCAAGCTGACATACGTATTTTCTAGGTGTTGAGAAGCTTTTGCTAGGAGTCCATTTAAGCTTAAAATTTATGGGTAGCTTGTTCTGCAAGAGGTGAAAGGGATTTTATTGTCCTTCATATAACAGATACACCTCTTGATTCCTCAGAAAATGTGCAAAACTTAATCTAAAAAAAAAAAGGTTAATTTTTATATCTAAAAAAAAGGTTAATTTTTATATCTAAAAAAAGTTAATTTTTATATCTAAAAATGTTCTTGAAAAAGCACTCTTTAGTTGGTAAAGCTACACTCTTGAAAGTTACAAAACGCCACGATTGATCACGCTGGTGCAATTTGAATTCAGATCCTCTGCGTGCGCGCGTGATGGTGCCGTCTTCAATTGCGTGGTCGCGTGCTGGCTTTCCACAAGCTCTGTCTCACTTGGTGCACGGGGCGATGGACGCTCAGCTGCGGAGGGAAGCGGTGGTTGTTTCGCTTCATCCTCCCCGCGTGACGTGCAGCTCGGCTATCCCGACCTGACCCCTGCTTCACGCTGCACGTCGTTCCTCTTAAAAGCTGCAGCAGCTCCCACCCCTCCGATGCCTGCACCGACAGTGGGAGGGCCAGGAGATCAACCGTCCTTCCCCGGCCTCCCTGCCCAAAAAAAGTATGTGGGGGATTATTTTGTAACTGGGTCAGGCCGGGTCAGCTCAGCCAGTGGGGCAGGGGATGACGTGCCTGGGATGGGAGCTGCTGGGCAGAGAGAGGTGTCGGCAGAGCCCCAGCCTCCGGCTGCGGCCGGACAAGCTGGATTTTGTTAGCAGCCCTAGGTCCTGCGGACTCTTCCTTCGTCCGCCGCCGCCGCCGTGCCTCTCCCTGCCCCGGCTGAACCCGGCGTGCCTGTGGCTGGCCG